GTATTCACTGCGCTGTACAACAGCGACGACAACGCCCTGATCGCGGCGCCCACCGGCAGCGGCAAGACCATCTGCGCGGAGTTCGCCATTCTGAGGATGCTGGCGCGGGCGGCGGAGGGGAAGTGCATCGCGAGGTGCGTGTGTGTGGTAGGGGTATTGAGGGTTTTAAGGGTAGGGAGGCAGGGGCTGCGTGCTTTTAAGGTGGTCGTGGTGGTGCTGCTGGCGGCCGCATACCGCCACCAAATGGCCTCCCCCCGTCTCCCTTCCCTTACCTCTCCCCCGGACTTCCCCACCTTCTCCAGTGGTCTTGATGAAACCTGTTTCCTACTGACGTCTTAGACAGGCACCCTTACCCCACCCCCCACCCCACCCTCACTCTACCCACCCCAACCCCCAACCCACACCCACACCCACACCCAACTTAGGAATTCCCCATACCCGGCCCATACACACCCAACCCACACACCCATACACACACGCAGGTGTGTCTACATCGCCCCCCACGACTCCCTGGCTCGCGACGTGGCGGCCTCCTGGACGTCCAAGTTCGGTGGTGGTCTGGGTGTGGAGGTGACTCAGCTGACCGGGGAGACGGCTGCGGACCTTAAGCTGCTGGAGCGCGGCAACATTGTGGTGGCCACTCCCCAGCAGTGGGACGTTATGAGCAGGAGGTGGGAAGGGGGGGCGTTGGTGGGGCGTTGGTGGGGTGTTGGTGGGGTGGGACAAGAGGGGGAGGGTATAGGATGTGCTGCGTAGTTCCAGATTGGGGAGATTTGGAAGCAGCCAGTCCGTCCGTTAGGCCCCGCGCGAGTCAGTTCCGGATGCGGATGCGGATGGGAGACTCCTCCTTCTCTTCCTCCTCGAGCGCTCTGCTGTCACGAAGATCCACTACCCCCCACCCCATTTCACCACTAACCCCACCCCCACCACTTTTACATACACGTATATCTACGTATATCTACGTATATCTACGTATATCTACATACATGCATACATACATACGTACATACATGCATGCAAACATACATACGTACATACATGCATGCAAACATACATACGTACATACACACACGCCCCGCCAGGTGGAAGCAGCGCAAGAACGTCAAGGACGTGGCTCTGTTCATCGTGGACGAGCTGCATCTGATCGGTGGCCCCAGCGGACCCACGCTGGAGGTCATCACGAGCAGGATGAGGTACATCTCCAGCCAGGCGGACAAGTAAGAGGGGGGGATGGGGGGGAGAGAGGGGGGGTTGGGG